CCTGAGGCGTGCACTGGATCCGCCCCCCCCCGCCGGGTGCGCGTCCCCGGGGCTGTTGCGTCCCCGGAGCGGCCGGGGCTTCAGGCCGAAACTTCCCGGGGTCGGGCTGCCCGTGCCCTCCCGCGAGCCCCTCAGCTCCGGCGCTCCTCCGGGAAATGTCATGGGGTTCAGTTTGGTCGAGGGATTCATGAATTTCCAAGCAGAGCGTGTATCAAGGCTGAAATACATTTTTATTTTTTTTTTAATTGGAAACTTCTTTTTGCTTGTTTCATGTTGTGATACTTGGGGTGATTTCAGATTTTTTAATTTTTTTTTTTCTTGTTGTGAAAAATTCTCAAATAGTATATTTATGTCTTGAAGTTACCCTGAACTTACATTTTAATCTATTAGCATACTTTTATTACGTGGCTTTTTTGATTGAGGTGAATAGTATGCAGTTCATACATGTATGTATTTTGGGGAAAGTAAGAACTATAGAAATGTCAGCTGAAACCTCATTATTTGTCTATTGCCTTACAGCTGTCTTTAGCACAATAACCTGCAACCGTGGTAGTGCTTGCTCTGTTCTACGGTAAAGGACAATAAAGATGGCTATGTTTGCTGCACTGCTTTTTTTGAAACTTTAGCTATAGTCGGTTATGTTACAGAGCCACACACTTGTGTAGTTTTGCGTCCTGAAGGGAATCCTAAGCTCTTCCAGTTTTTATTTTATCTGTGTTTGAGAGGGAGACAGTGCTGTCATATGTGTGGTACAACTCTGATGTCTTAAAGTAAGTGGTCTTTGGAGCAAGAAGCCAAGCCAGGGAATGTGTGTCATGTAGGGCAAGTCTCTCCTGTGCTAGACCAATAAAAAGATGACACAGAAAACATCACTCTGTTCAAAACACCATTCTAAAAGAGTGGTGAATTCAACTCTAAGCTATTTTATGAACACTTGAACACAAGAAACCTGTCGTCTTTGACTGATTGACCCTTGACTGAAGATTTTCCTGCAGGCAGGAAAGGAGCAGAATGGTTCTTTCCCTTGCGAATTTACTGACATCTAAGAAGACATGCTGCCTCTTTCTGTGGAGACACTTTTCTGGGCTCTGCACCCTGCTGTCATGAAACTTTCAAGAACCTACGTGTCTGGTATCTCTGTTTCTCTTTTGAATCTGATTGAAACTGGCCAATGGGCTTGGAAGGTGTTAGTGAGGTCAGAGGGACAGATATCCACGTGCATGCCTGTATACATATGCTTACACTTCTCTCCCTTCCCTAGTGATTGCATAAGTCTGATTTCCTTAGGAAACCAAGCTGAAAAAAGGAGTGGAGGGAAGTCAAACAAGATACTGTTCAGTTCCAGTTTGCAGCTACTGTAAAAAGCACTTGTCCAACTATTCGGAGTACTGTGCACAGTCCTGGTTACGGTGTAGCTGGAAGGCTGTTGCTGTTTTGAAGAGGATGAGATAACGTAGAATAAAGAAGATAACGTGCTGATCTCATAGCTTTTGTTTCCTGAATCGTATTTTAGATTCTAAATCATACATATATACCATTTGACTTTTAAAGACAAATCTAAATAATTTTACAGGGAAGTGAGAATTTCTGTAGGGAAGGGAATTGAGATGAGCTGTTTTGGAAGGGAGATTTAGAAGTTACTTAACAGAATGCTCAAGACTGGGAAACAATTGAATTACTGGAGTTGTTTGTATTCTTTCTCCTGTGTGTTCTTTTAACTTGTATGCTCTCTAGTCAGGATTTTGTTAGAAGGTTCCTGATACTATAAAAATGTTAGGTTCTGCAGTAATAAATTTGTGCCTTCTCTAGCTGTTCTTGTTTTTAATATCCCCAATAAAGCACCAGTCTGGACTGCAAAAGCTTTTTTGAACATCGTGTGGTGTGTAGTTTTTTTTGGTGCATAACATAGTGTTTTTCAGAAGTTTTTAGTATCTAACATCCTGGATCAATTCTCTAGTGGAATTCTACCACATCTGGGATACTGCAAGGTATTCCAGGTTTCTGTGAAATATCTTACCTTCAGGGGAGCATCCTGTGTTCCTTCTACACTCAGCGTGTTTCAAACTGCACATGTAGCATATTTCATCTTCCCATGAGTTTACTCACAGATATGGGTATTTTACATGGAGGCTTTCTGCTTGACAGAATATTGTCAATATATTGGTAATTAATACTTTCATCTGGCTTTTTTGTGCGTGTGTGTGTGATGCAGCAAGGTTATCCTGCACCTGTGTGACAGATGCTAAAACTTCCTGATTGAGTAGTCCTCTAAGATAAAGAGTAGATGCAGTAAGATTAGTAGTTGTGGAAGAAAATAGCAATTAAGGTTTAAATAAAGTCAAAAGTATTCTTGTTACCTTTGCTAACAAGAAAATTAATTGTGGTTTGACTCCTTTTTTTCCTGGTCTGTGTATTCATTACTTGCAATCAGGGTTTTGTAAGCCAAATGCTGATCTTTAGTAATGAATCCCATGTGTACAGGTGAACAGGATTTAATTTTGCAAGTAACAATCCTTAAAACTTAGATGCTGATGTAGAAAATGGAATTGTCTGGTTTTTAACCCAATGGATTCAGGCTCTTCATTAATGGAAAGCAAAGGTGACACTGAAGCGGTATATAGTTATGATGATATGAGATGTCTTTTTGTGGCTTCCATCAGGACTGGTGCTTCATAATACCACATTTTGCATAAAAGTATAGGAACACCTCATAACCTGGTCTGAAGTGCTGTCATTCTGTTTAGTTGGATACTGGGAACAACACAGAGGGCAAACAGAAAGGAATGGCATGAAAAGGGAATGGAAACCATTTAGGTATAAGCAGTTAACAGTGAAGTAGGTGTGGTTTTTTTTGTCAGGGTTGGTATTTTTACAGATGGTCAGCTGTAAGGTATGCAAGTTTACATTTGAAATAACTAATCCTTAGTCTCTTTGACTCCTCATCTCCCCTGCCCATCTTTGCCTGGTGGCTTGGAGGTACCTAGTGCTCACAGGCCTTGAGAAAGGAGGCAGCCTCTACTTTGTAAACTCGGTTAGCTTGCTTCTTGTGTGAGATGGACTGTGGAAAGTGTGGGTATGCACAGTGGGATAGTGTAGGTGAGTTGGGAGCTTTTTGTCACTTTGGCAAGGAGAATGGCAGCCTGTTTAAGATTCCACAAGAATGGTAGCTCCAATCACCCTATTCATGTCCTCCTTCCTTTTGCTCGTATTTAAGTCATACTCATCAGCTGGATATGGTGAGAACCTGAAAGCGTAAGGATTAGTTTTGATTTCAGTGTATATGTGACTTAGTGACTTGATTCTGAAATGGTCTTATAAACGCTCTTTTCCACTAATGATCTAGGGCATATACTTGGCTTGCTTTTAAATCTTCTGTTGTACAGATCAGTACAACAGTCCCTTTTGTTCAGTTTTAAGATTTTTTGCTCTGTTCAAATCCAAATAGATTACACTTAACATTCAAATAATGAACTGAGTTTAAGATTTGGCAAATAAGAATGAGAGTCTCTGTGTGTGTATTGTAATTTGGAAGTGGCTCATGCAGCTTGTTGGTCAATGTTAACCTTGTCTGTGATTAAAA